GTTTATATCTAGGGTTGTTTTATTTAATGCTTAGTGATGTACTTACTATCTGTTACATAAATACCTGTATTATATGTTCAACTTGCAATATGCATGTCTCCAAACGTGTAGATATCAATCTACATTCAGCAAATATCATTCCTTTGCATTTGGTAGCATCTAGCCTTTGTTTAGAATTATGTGCTTTTGAACATCTGTAACAGAATTCTCGATGCTGTACTCTTGGAAAATAGGGAGCTGCACATTTATAAAGTATATTCCAGGACATTTTATGAGGTATTTCCTCCCACCTTTCTGCATTCCTTCGGGGTGTAACGGTAGCACACCGGGCGCGTATTGGAGAGGTCCAGGTTCGAGTCCCGGCGAGGGCATTGCTTATTTTCCGTTTTTTCTGTTTCAGAAATCCTAACGACTCTACAAATTATGGTCTCCGGACAATATCCAAATAGTATATGTTAGCTAACCGGGTCTCCAGGCCACTTTCACCTGTCAGCTGAATGGTGACAAGAAGCACTGCGGTGGCATCATCCCCTCAGCCACCGATAAATGTCGTAACTGTTTGGTAAAGATACAGGGGATTATAGTTTCTCCCATGAGACTAGTTCTGTGCATTTCATGAACGCATGCTTGGGTTTTAAGTCATGCGAATGCGGTAAACTCGCTGGAGGGGGTCTAATAATATATGTTTCGGAGTGTAAGACAATAAGGTCTATGTAAGCATGAGTTTTATTCATGAAAATGCATTCAGATGTGATTGTAAAAATGAAAAACCGTACATGATATTCAAGAATTGCGTAAATTCATAAGAAAAAATGTAAAGCTATTCCCGATACCCGATTAGCGGGGTTTCGAGGACAAATAATCAGTCTCTACAGTTACTAGAACCAACGTGTATTCAGTGGTGGTTTCAGAGTAGGCAGGGACCGTATTGGTTCTGCCCCATACGCCGTTGTACGATTACATATCGAATGGGGATAGACCACGTTGTTCTATGTTCTTTTTGTTGACGATTACATCTTTGGCTAGTTTTCTTGTTCCCATACTTTGTGCATTTCTGTCTCCTTTAGGTGGTGGGGGGATTATGCCTCCTTGTATCACTTCTAGCTGCGGCATTATAACTGCATAAGGAACCTAATAAGCCAGGACTTTGAGCCCCTTCTTCCTAGAGCTCTGTCAAAATCTGGAAAACAATTCTCAAAAGCAGAAATGCCTGGAGGAGACTTTTGAAGAAGGCAAGGGCCCACATTGATCTGTCGAGCCAAAGAAGAATATTTCATATAATCTCATGTAGAACATTGTAAAAAGTCTTACCTACGAAAGCCTCATCTGTTCCAATGAGGACATAGTTGCCAGGATTTCTGTCCCTCCTGCTGCCATGTGAAGCATGCACTCTCGTTGGCGGTTTAATATGGAGGTTGTAAATTAAATGGTGGAAACTTAACCTTGAAACTCGCAGAAGGACTGGCATGCGCAAATAGGATATGGGAGCGGTGAGGTGGCGCTGTTGTTGATGTGTAGAGTGCAAACGGTCGATCTGCTTAGAAGGGTAGTTGCTGTGTGGCGTTAAAGTGAAGATTTTCGTTTCCATCGCTCTAAAGAGTGTTTTCAATCAAGAGAGGTGATCAGCTGTCGTGGCTTAAAATCGCGGTTGCCCGTGGTAAAAATGCAACAGAATGCTATCGAGGATTACTGGAAGCCTGTGGCAAAAATGCTTTAATGGTTCAAGCATTTCGTTCGGGTCGGAATGAGACTGCGGATTTGCAACGCATAGGTCGGCCCTCCATTCCTCAAGAGCAGATTGACATCCTGAGTGGTCTCCTTATCATAGATCGCGGATGGACTACCCGAAAATTATCCTTAGAGGTTGGTCTGAGTTATCAAACGGTGTGGCGCATAAGGAAGAAATTCTCTCAACATGAGGAAATTTGCTTCCCGCTGGGTTCTACATCAACTAACCGAAGTACAGAAATAACCGAAGTACAGAAACCTACACCGGTATGCACTGGCTGGCACCCACTTGGAGAGATACCGCAACGAAGAAGACGCATTTCTGCAGTGTATTGTCGCTATTGATGAGACTTGGGCACGAGCCTATGACCCTGAATTAAAGTATCAATCATATGAATGGCGTCACCAAGGTTCGCCACGTCCCCAGAAATTTGACAGGAACCCAATCGGGTGAAGGTTATGCTGATTATGGCATACGACTGGGACTGTATGATTCTTACGCATTCTGTACCTCAAGGACAAACTGTCAACGCAGATTACTATTGCCGATTTCTACAGCACCATCTGCGTCCGGCTATGCGGCGCAAACGTCCACGTTTATTGCACAACAATCTCCCTATCGTATTGCATGACAACGCTCGTTGCCATGTCGCAAACAATGCGACTCTCCTTTTGCGACGGTGGCAGTGGGAAGTCCTGGAACATCCTCCTTACTCACCCGACATGAGTTCTTCTGACTTCGATCTGTTTTCGAAGTTGAAGGAATACCTCCGATGTCACTGATTTCGTGATCTTTCATCTGTACTCCTCGCAGCAGGTCGCTCGGTCGCTCACATCAACAATCAACACCTTGCCACTGGTCTACAACGGCTTCCGGACATTTGGCAAAAGGTTATAAGCTTACATAGAAGGAATGTAATGCAATTCTACTTGTAAGTTCATAAAATTGATTTATATCTATGTTGCCATTACTTAATTTACGGTCCTCGTATTTTGAACAGCTTGTATGATTTGTTCAAATTTTTTATTTCTCTCATATCATTCTCATGTCTACTAATTTCTACTTCAATGCTCGATTTGCGCCACATACTTTGTGGCGTTCACGTGACGCATGCCCTAAATTTCAAACAAACTAGCAAATTTAACGATTATATTTACAAAGATATGCCAGTACTCTTTTTAAAATTTTATCCATCGCAAATTTTACCCCTTTTCTGTCTCTTTACAAATTTTGCTTAAAATAATTATATAAATTTTGGACGATAGCATACTACGAAATTGCAGATTTTAGTTTTTCTTGAAGTTTATTTTTTAGAAAATTTCCATTGTACTGATTGTAATTTTAAGAAACTGTCACTTTTATTGCAGTTTAGTTGAAACTGCTTTCTTAATAGTACTGAACAACAAAATTCATGAAATATTAGGATTTTGAGACGTTATATAGATACATATATATATAAAATTGAAAAGGAGAGCTAACATGGAACTGCTTTTAAGATCGCTAAGAAATATCTTTTACTTAGAGAAAGTTAAATGACTCATACTGTAAACCATTAATCTAATTTAATAGAGACGAAACGTTTGTTCAGATATACTCTGTAAGCTGAACAAATACAAAAGACAAAAAAAAAAAAAAAAAAAGAATGACATTTCACATTTGTACCTAATTAATATAACCAATTTTATTTACTAACATACGTTATTTATCCATTTAAGAAATAACTACTATTTTGTTCAGCTAATTTTAATTATAACAGCATTGAAATTGTAATATAGCCGGTGTGGTTGATACAGTTTTGTGGTATTTTGAGATAACACTTGAGTTAAAAATATTTAGTTGTTTTCTTAAAAGGTAATTTATTACCCTCTGTAAATATTCCTGCTCATAAAATCGTGTTTATAGGTAATACAAAATGTTAAAATTAGGCTTATCTTCTCCATCCTGTCAAGCACAACACGCCATATCAAAAGGCATAAGATACTCAGCGATTCTTAATCAAAATTTATATGAGTAAATGAAGTACGATTGTACATAGAGATTAAAAAATCCATCATTATTTAATAGAGCAATATCTTAAAAGCAGTTCCATGTTAGCTCTCCTTTTCAATTTTATATATATTATATGTATCTATATAACGTCTCAAAATCCTAATATTTCAAGAATTTTGTTGTTCAGTACTATTAAGAAAGCAGTTTTTAAATTCTTAAAATTTATACTATTTATTCGTATTGTTGAACCTTTTTACATATGTAAATAATTTTAGTGAAATTATATGTGGAACTGTTGTATATTTTTTGTATAATGTAAAATGAAAATCTAAAGAAGCAAAGCTTTGCCAGAAAAAGAAAGAATATAGAAGCAGAATACAGAAAAGAAAGAACATATTGAGTAAATGGCTATCCCGCTAAACTGGCGAAATATCGCCAAGCTGGCTATGGTTTTGGCGACTAGTTTTGTAGACAAATTTGGCAAAAGTTTGACAAAGTCGCCAACTTGACGATAATTTGGCGACATTTTGGTCCAGTCTCTGTATAACTGTAATAGATATTGTAATTCAATAACTGTAATTGATACTTTGTGCAGTTGTACCCATATCCGCCCTCATATGTCTTGCAGTATTTTGGAAAAGGGAAAGGTACTAGAAATTGCTTGGCAGCTAGGAGAAAAGTATTTACGTTTGAAAATTAATTACTGATTGTCCTCTGTGATACTGTGAAGAGTTACGTGAGTATTTTTGTGGAAATTTCCAGATCTGTGAGATGTTCCTTATGGTAAAATAAATTTTATCAAACTATCACCAGTTCTATGCGCTTTCAATCTATTACGGAACAACCTACGAACGCAGCAGTATTGCAAGAGGGATTTTCAACAAGGCTTTAGATACAGCATTATCATATTAAATGTTCTTGATAAACAATATTAATTATCTTCTCTGAGATTTCCGCATCATTTTAGAGACGACATTTGCATCTGGAAGTGATAAAAAGTTTAAAAGTATAGATATAGCTCGCCGGTTATTGCCAAGTTTTCTACTAAATCATCTATTACAAAACCCCATACCTTTGGTTCCATGACGGAATATTTTGCAACTGAAAATTGTTTTTCCCGTTAGCGTTTTTGGACTACAGCAAGATTCAGCCATTATTACAATGTTCATTACAGTGCTTGGTGTCATTCTAGGTGTTTTTCAAAATATATCTTATTTTTCCTCCCAAACTGAAGTTTTAATTTATTGGTAAATAACGTATTCAAGTTCAATTTTCATTTCAGTCGCACCCATGATATGGATACCTAACCAACTGGTAGGAGCTCCTCTGGATACGGATGTCTTGCTGGACTGTGGTCTGGAGAGTCATCCTAAGTCTGTCACATACTGGACAAGAGAAGGTGGTGTCATGATTCTGTCCAATTCTAAGTACGATAGTATGCTTCTGGACTCAGGTAGTTACAAAAGCAAGATGCATCTCCGAATTCGAAATCTTAAACCTGAAGATTATGGTCCATATACCTGTGTTGCCAAAAATTCTCTTGGCGAAACCGAAGGAACTATTAAGCTGTACGGTGAGTAATATGTATCCTAATTATCTGCTTCCTAAACTTATTATGACTCGAAACATTAAAACGCTGCATTTGTCTTGCCTTTATGGCAATATTATTGTAAACACTGTTGAAAACGGTACTTTCGACAGGTGTTTCATTGAAGAGTTAACACTTTTACATCGGTAGAGGCCAAAATCTGTTCCTTTCAAACATCTGAAACTCCCATATGCTCGAATTATTGCGGGAATGAATTTCCTTCGCCCATGCTAAGTAGAGCATGCTACAGCGATAAAAATAATCTACTTAACTGAAAATCTCTATAGGTGATCTCTAGGAGACCTTTGTGAGGTTTCACCCACTGTGTGCAGTTTTTCCTTAGGACAGGATTTCAACTACCAGCATCAATAGCTATATGTTGAAGCTAAACAAAGTTCAACAAACAAAGTTCATTCAAATAATAGTTGTGCCCAAACTATAAACTATGCCTAAAGGGCGATCTGGGGATTAGGGGACCCCGTTGCCAGACCCTGTTGGCGATGAATTATCGTCCACCATCTTATAGTTCGGGCACCACTTCTAGTGTCATTAGGTTATTTTAACTCTTTGCAGACCATAACGGCCCAGACGGCCTTTCATTCAAACGACCACAACGGCCGCTAACGGCCTAAATCCCGATGTTGTTTTCTTCCTTCCCCTAAGGTATGCAGTAGCAGGTGCAGTTTCCTCAAATGCATTGTATCAGTTTATTACAGACAGCTTGTCCTAAGAGGATTTATATGTGGTTTCTTGTTATTTGTTAGAAATAGGAAGGATATCATTTGAAAGCTTCACTCTTCTTTGTGCGTTAATGGATGAGGAAGGAAATTGCTGTGACTGTCGAAAACCATTTCAAGTAGTTCGGTATTTTAACATACAGATTAGCTATGGCTTCGGTTTTTCAAAGAGTTAAAGCAGCAGACATGAAAAATATGCAAGGCCCTCGCCAGGACTCGAACTTTAAATTTCTCGAAAACGCGTCGAGTGTGCTTCCACTTAGACCACGAAGACATGCGGAAAGAAGAATAACTTATATAGCTTATATAGCTACCAAAGGTGGATACATGTTTAAATTTAAAATCAGGTTTTGTTTAAATTTAAAATCAGGTCTTGTTTAAATTTAAAATCAGGTCTAACTTCTTTGTAGGAGAATATGTATATTAACTCGTACATCATTCTGATAATTCCTTCAGGGAATAGCTTTTCCTGCATGGAACTGTATACATGCAACTTTTCCAATGGTTTTTGTAACATTTATTTCATATCTTCAAACAATCTAACGTCATAAAATTTTACACTAGTTAATACTTTATATTTTAACGAGGGGAGCAAATTTTAAAACACTCAAACATGAAGCCTGGTTTACTCTTCCCCTTTTTTTTATTTCTGTACTGAAGGTTATTACGAAGACATTAATTTAGATAGACGGTAATCAGTAATCATTTATTCTTCAGCTTAAATAAAAATATAAAGTTCAGGCACAGCAGATCAGTTTAAGAATTTTAGAATTCCGTTTTATAAGAAATCTCTAGTCTTCTCCGGTCTGTTGGTTTAAATAAAGACATTTAAAATACCGAAGCTTATCATACAAAATCCCTGCGCATGAAAAATGAAGTAATAGTCAAGGATAACATTCCAACATATGTGACAGAGTTATCATAGGAATTCCTAGATGGCGCCCACATCAATTTTATTTTACGACGCAAGATGGATTAGCCAATGAATTATTTACAAATTCTCGTTGCTTTAGTTGAGATATAAGAGATAGAAATGGAATAAAAAGAGTTTTTGGGAAATAGCTTGAAAAATTTTCCCCCAAGGCGTGGTAAAGGGGAAAACAGGTAACAGAAAACGAATGAGAGAAAGTTATTTAAAAATTTGAATAAGATGCGGGATTTGGAATTCCCGCAAATGTATTTGAAGCTAGGTTAAATCGCATTCTCAGCTCGAATCAATACAAAGACTGTGCAGAACTTATGGGAGTTTCGTTGCCTCTTAATAAATTTAATCGAAATCGAAAATTTCGTCTCAAGAATTGAAAAGAGTTAAAAAATAATGGCAGCATGATCGTTATGCAATAACTATTTCCTCGTAAACCATATTTTGTCGTGTCTGAAATTTAAGTATCAATGAAAAATACATGTATTAAATTAAAATGAACTTTTAAAATATAATTTTTTATCAATAGGCTGTTTTAAAATGCATAATTATTATTGTACTTGTTTTTTTTTAAATATGCATTTATTTTATCACACTTGCCTTTTAATTTTGATCAAAACGATATTAATAATTATGCAGGGTGTTTAAAAAAGAATGACTGATTTGAAATGTGTGTATTATGAAAAATATTGCACATAGACACTTCAGTTGCACGTAGACACACACAAAATTCCCCAGTTTTTAACATTAATTTTTTAAATTTTAATTTTGATATAATTTTTATAAATTTTTCGAATAAAATTTTGACTTATAACCTATAAAACTTTTAGCATTTAAAGTGCATTTATAAGTATACTTGCAAAAATTTAGAGTTTTTATTCAAAATTTCCTAGGATATATGTGAATTTACATATTGGCTCTCTTTGAAATTTGTCGTATTTGTTATAAGCGATAATAGTGCCAAATGTGTTTTAAGCACTTTGTTAAATTTATTTGAAATAATGAACGATGATTTTTATTCCGTTCGGTTACAATGAAAAAAAAAAAAAAAAAAAAAAAAAAAAAAAAAAAAGGGAAAGTAAAATAGGTTGCAATAAATTAAGAAGTTCGCCAAGTGAATTATTCTTGGCACAAACTGAAAAAAAAATTCCATCAAGATAAATTCTTACATTTCGCCATAAATTTCGTACGAAATTTTACAAAATTTAATATTTAGGCATAATTTGAGTCGTAGAATCGAAATATGGAATAAAATTCGCATGCAATTTCAGAAAACGTCAGATTTTGTGTCCAAATACCTATATTAGAACAGAGTTGTATATAAATCTAGTATATATCTTAAGTCGCACTCTCGAGACATGGTTTGGTTTGGTTTGGTTTATTTAATTATGGCAAAGCACATTAGGGCTATCTGCCTAAGGGGAGGGATGCCTTCGAGGAGGACTTTCTAAGGGAAACTGGCTCGTATACACGTTACACATGGGGAAAACCACGAAAACACTCATGCAGCCAGCCCATTCGCGGGATTCGAACCTCGGACCGAACTACAAGCGTTCAGCGACTTCACCGCTAGGCCGCTGGTGGGCCACTCTCGAGACATAAAAGACACAAGATGAATTTGGCCAATCAACCCAGTAGAATGGGAGATATAGAACTGCCGCCCCCCCCCTTTTTCTTTTTTTTTTTTACTTAGTGTACAGTTGTTTAATACCCTCTATTACTTTAGTTTTACTTAAACTTCAAACATATTGTTGCGTGCGTACCATTCGTAATAGATTGAACTCACACAGAACTGATGATAGCTTGATAAAATTTCACAAATAAAAAGAAACAAAAGAAACAATTTACAGTTATGGAAATTTCCGCAAAAATACTCGTACAGTTCTTCACAGTATCACAGAGCACAATCAGTAGTTGCATTTCAAACTATTGAGAATGTTAAACATAACGCACTGCAAAGCGAATCTAAAAGGCGAAGCCCCTACGGCGATATCTCAGAATTGCGAATTCACTTGTGAGCTAACAACTCTCCGAAACTCATGCTGTCACCGATCTTGTATAGTTCCCCACAGATTACCAAGAAATGACTAATACCTTCCACTTCTCGAAATAGGCATAGGCATCTAGAAATGGTTAGGCATATGAGGGACGGATGCGGTTACAGCTACATATAGGATCAATTACATTTATGTAATTACAGTATCCGTTGGAGTTATACAGGGACGAGACTAAAATGTTGTCAAATTTGGCGACTTTCAGCGATTTCGCACCACATTTGGTAACAAAAATTAATCGCCAAAACCGTCACCAAATTGGCGAGATAGTCATTTACTTCAATCTTAAATATTCTTACCTCTTTAATCTTGTTTTTCCGGCAGAACTTCCGCACATTAGATTTATATTTTCCTGTTACATTATAGAAAAGGTACAATTTTGAACGTAACTTCATGAACGTAACTAACATTTTGAACTTGTTATTTACATACATAAAAAATTTCGTAATAACATAAACTGTAGGAGTTGTATTAACACAGATTAAAACAATTGCACCTTTAAAACAAAAAGTTTAATTTTTAAAAATTGAGCAAAACCACATTTATTACTTGACCTTGAAAATTTACTTTCTGTGGCATATTTAACCCCTTTTGAATTACTTAACTAGGAATTATAGTAAATGCTAGTATTGTAAAGTGATTTTGCAATATTGAATCACACTTTGTATTTCAGAGATCCCTCGACCCACTACAACTTCTTCACCAGCTCCACAGTACACCAGCAAGACGAGCAAAACAGAAGGTAATTTACTGATTGTTTGTTTTAATAATAATTTTTTAATGTTTCATCTTTTTGTTTCTCCGTTTATTCAAATTTCATATTAGATATAAATATTTAAAAATTACTTCATGACATTCTTTTAGCTAAAATTTAGCCGTATTTACAAAATGCTGTACAGAATAATAGGCTGTTTTCAATAGCGATCACATATAAATTAAATGTTTTACCAACATAATATATAAATAATGGAATGTCAGTGTTGAATTAAATTCCTACTATTAGCTCACACTGTCCCTATATTTGTTCAAATTGTCAATCGTTAATAAAATACGTACTTTTTCTTCATCCACTCAAGTTCAAATACACTTTTTTAAACTTGTAGTGGAGGACTCTTGATGTTAATACAGTTTTTTCACATATTAAAGTCAATTCCTACTGATCGTTTATTAGGAATTCTCACGTGCTATAAAAATTAATTTTATAACATATCAATAATAGTACATAATAATAGTTCAAGAGTAAAATAAAATTTCAATAATTCAAAATTCAAAGTTCTGTTGTTCAAGATTCAGTAAATTGGATGGGATTCTAATACTTAACAAAAATAAGTGGCAACCGTAAGAAAGAATTCTAAAGATATTTAAAGTGTATGGAATTGAAGAATTGTAGTTTTATAGAGTTGGATGAAGCGGATGTAATGTCCATTATGTAGCGAAAATTCTCCCCCTATTTCTATGTTAACGTGATAATAATATATGTTTAAAAATAACCCTTTAAAATGTCCCTTACTTATTAAAATAAATAGATAGCAGTGTAAATTATGCAGTAATTTACAAGTATCTAAGACGAAAACTCTTGGCAGCAGGTCAAGCATATGTCGCCTTGCGTCGTGTGAAATCATTAGATGGATTATTAATTGAAGACCTGGACTGCTCTAAACTCACTAAGAGTTTCCTTGCAATAATGAAGCATTGCAAGTTATGGATAAAACGAGAAATTATAGACCACCATCAGCTTCATAAATTAGAAACGAAGAAATGTTAATAATGTTAATAAAAAGTAACTAAAATAAAATTTTTCTTTGTTCACCTAAGTAGGAATTGACTTTATAAAATTTTTTAATATTACTTGTTTTTGATCTTAATACGCTTATGAACTTCGCATTTTGGTGGGCTGTTAATTACATCTGAAAATTCTGGGCATAGATAAGACACATTTTTCACAATTTCCAATATTGCTTTTGTTGAAAATTGTTTTAATAAAGGGGATAAAGAAATGGGATATTTAATGTTTAATTATAACCAATTATTGCTGTGGATTAGTACTTTAAATTCCATTTTCAATTCTTAAGTTGTAATGCAAATAATAATTAATTTTGCCATACAGTTAATTATTGTTTATCAAAAAAGGAAGGTAGGTTATATTCCTAAGCTATAGCAGAAACAACGAATATGAAGTTCGCTATGTTATTTGAAACTAATTGCTCCTAATTTCTGGATAGTTTGCACTGAGCCAAACGTCTGTGAAGTCTTTTTTGGTTTCCTGATCTCTAGAACTGGTTCTTTATCTGTGGAGTATTACAAGAATATAGTGATAAAATTTCTGCAGAAATGTAGGTTGCACAGAATGGAAACAAAATGTATGTTGCATCAAACTGACCGTGCTTCATCTATGCATTATAAGACGTGCACACTTAGAAACTCTAATATAAGAAATTTCGGTACGTATTTGCGCAACCATCTAAGTGCAGTTTGGTGATTTTTTACAAAAGAAAAAGGTGATTTCGTGAATTTTTGGTTTGCAGCTTATAATGGATATGATTAGCTTAACAAGCATTACCCGCATGGTTTCCAGAGCTTGGCGACTTCTGAAAATTTGGCGACATTTCTAAGGCGGTTTCGATAATACGTAAGTACCTTAGTCATCTCCTTACAAGGGTACCTATGATACGTTTCTAAATCGTGAGAATAAGAATTTTCCAAGCATGAAAATCTTTCAACAATGCTTCTTCATCTTTTAAATATATTTTACAGTTCGTTTTGGAAAATGTTTTTATTCTCTCCGTATGTACAATTTCGACTTCACGATGCTTCTTTTACTTCGTGCAAGGAAGTAAAAACAATATGCATATCCATCACGTTATTATATATTTTTTCTCAAATTACAGTTCATAATTTAATGATATGCCAGTTATCAATGGTATGTAACAGTACTTCAGAAATCTAATGTTTGACTAGACATCTGGAGCATCATTTGGGGAATTAGAACTCACGTGATATTTGAAAAGCATTTGGAAAGTCTGTTTATAATTTTCAAGCCCCCAAAAAAAGATATAGCGAGGAAGGAAAAAATTAGTAAGGAAATAAAAAGTATGTTGTGTGAAAAATAAATATTTTGTGAGAAAATTAATAAATATTCTCCTCGAAACAGTTAAAGGATAAGGAATAATTTCGTTTTCGGAATAATTTTGACGATATTTTTCGCCAAACAAAACAGGCACAGTTTGTTCATATTATGCAACCAAACAAAACACGTGATTTCTCGGATACAAATGAGTTTCAAAAAGGGATATGGTTTCTCCGGACCGATAGCATTGTCGCACAGCTAAGATGCATGGAAACAAGATATCAACGAGGACCTGGATGTTGTTCCCTCCCACTCCTGTAGAAGGGATCTTAAATCTGCTGAATTGTTTCTCGGGGTGATAAGCGACTAGCAGCCCTCGCCCTGGAATATCCCAAACATTGGGTGAATATCTAGGGAACATGCTGGTCAATTCATTCAAAGGATTTCTTCGAATTGTCCACTAGTTGAGCATGTTGTGGCCTTATGTTATCATAGATGAGAATGAATTCATCCCCAATTGTTGCAGCGTAATAAGTCTGAATCTGCACAGTAAGTCTGAAAATCTTGTCTCTATATCGCTGGGTCTTTAGTGCTCCATTCCTGATAATGTGCAGGTCGGTGTGGACATTGATAGAACTGCCAGCCCAGAGTTTGCACCAGTGAGTGGGCTTTCGACCTAAGATCATACCAAACAGAAAAAGCCTAACCAGTGGAAATTTTATTTAAAATACGAGTACTATCCAACCCCCACTCCAGGGTAGGGTTGGCAGATCAACGACATTTATGGGAAGAATTTTACGATGAATATTGTACAGTAGTGAATTCTATTTACAGTCTGCTTTGCATTTACATGCTACGTTGAGCTATTTTTGATATATACAATAGATATACATAGTATGAAGTTTAATAGTTCAATAGTACAAAAACATTTCAATAATTCAAAGTTTTATGTTTTAAGATTCAGTAAATTTCAATAGTTCAATAAAGTCCAATAGATTAAAGTCTAAAGTAATCTAGAGTTCTGAAGTTCGGTAAAGTAATAAATCTAGAGATCTAAAGTTCGGTAAGTTCAGCATTAAGTTCTTTTGATCGAAAATTCGGTAATTTCGTAAATAAAGTTTGGTGTCTCATATGATCGTAATTGCAGAAGGTTTCATTTGACTGACGTAGTACAATTCAGTTCCAGTTTCAGTTTAGATATCCGAAAATTAGTCAGTTTTTTAAATGATTGGAGAATTTAGTTAATTTTGATATGTACGAAATAAATAATAAAAAGTATATATTGAGTTCTAATGTTTAACATTAGAATACGAAAATAAATTAGTTGAGGAAAATAACTGTTCAAATTATTTGTTATAATTTATAAAGAATTTTATTGGTTTTGAAAGTTTGTTATATGAAGCAGAATGTTTTAGTAGGTATTGAGTCCATTCTTTCCAGCATTGATTTGAAAGTTTATTTAACTGATGCTCTTTTGTACATTTATATTAAAAAACATAATGGTCAGGACTTCCTACTTTACCACAATTATAGTTCGACCGCATCATCCGCGACCATGAGCACAAATACGCCATTCGGACCGAATTATTCTCAAAATAGGGTGTAAGAATTGAGACTTTCTTTCCCTTGAGCATATAAGTTATCTCTTCCCGGAGCTCTTCACGTTACTTTTCACGTCGCAGCAACTAATAACACCCCTTTTGGACGATTCTATGTGTTTTGGCAGAATGATAGCGAAGGTTGCGTTTGAGAAGGTCGAACTATAACAAATGTCAGTTTTGTTTGAGTCTCTGTCAGTTTCTTTGAGTAACTGTCCCAGGCTATCATTCCGGCTCCACGAAATCGGACACCTTCAGGGATAAATGTAGGAGTATTCCGTGTACCAGGTTGTTTCCAGATAAGAATATGCCTATTGCCATGTTGTACAGTACCTTCAGCGAAGAGCACATTGCTCGACTCATCTCGTCCCCATCTGAGATGCTTCTGTGGCCACCTTGTGCAGACATTACGACAGTTCTTTGTCAACGAAATACAAAACATAGGCCTGTGAGCCTACAAATCCACATGGCGGAGTCAAATTTGAACAGTTTGAGTCGAAAGTCTGGTACTATTAGCTCTCTGAAGATGCTGTTGCAAGAAAGTCGAAGTCATAGTACGGTTTCTTCTGGCCGTTAGTGTTAAACGCCGATCCTCATTTTGTGTTATTGCAGGCCAGGTAAACGACCTCGTCCCTATCTTTGAAACTTTTGCGAAACATTCGTACATTTCATCTTACCCGATTAGTCTTTGAAAGCCGTCCGGGTGTCCGGCCCTGCTGTCACCTGTCACCTTATTTCATCTGGAGATTCCGTCAGGAAATGGCACTTAAGGAAACTCTGCAACGGATTGCGTTGCCTCCAAGGCTATCGATTCAGCTAAATCGTGTTGCTGAGACATCTATTCACTGCCATAAAACATTTAACGTGTGTCAGTTGTTTTAATCTCCTTTTACAGAAGGAATGCTGGAGATCGCTTTTCATTCCTTTTTAAAAACACGTAATTTTCGACGTCAGAGACCAAAATTCCATTTCCCCCAACGTCGTAAACATTATAATTTTCCTTATTAACCTCTGGTATTTCATTTTTGTTGAAAACGTTCTCGATTATATGGTTACTTCCCACCGAACTCGCAATATCCTAAAAGAAAATACTCTCATTCATTCTAAAGATAATATTTTGTATTATTTTTAATGAATCAAAATGATTTAAATGGATGTGGTCGAAGAAATTAATTTAACGTATTCTTTTCCAGGTACTCAGCATACAACCAGCGAAAAGATGCTCATTGGTACGTGGCAAAATTCTCTAATAAAGGATGACACTGACTGTAAGTCGAGCATGTTTTGTTCTGTGTTGCGAAGTATACTGCAATAATTGTCGTTCGGAAACTTCCGCGAGATATTAACGCGCTGTAAAGTTGTCGCGACATTATAGCACATTATGTCTTGGACAGAAATTTCCCACGTTATCATTATATAATCCTCTGTCTCTTCCATGTTAGTAGCTTCAGAGATATCTTACATATATAAATAAATGCAGATTAATGATTACTACTGTTCATAAAACTTTAGAGAACAGTACTTATTATTTTAACTTTCCTTCATTTAAGCAAAATGCTTACTTTTAGCGAAGTATTATTATTCTGTAAGTCATCTGATTTTGGATCGTATAAATACAATGACTTTTCTTACACATTTTGAATACATGAAAAAAATGCATGTACATTTCTAAATTTTATTTTTTTCCTGTATTAATCCTTTGACTACTAACGGAACATATATTTCCCATTTAAGTTTAGGAACTACTGCTGGGTCAGAAAGTACTTAAAATATCCTGAATGTAGAGAATCATCTTCCAATAGTTGGAAAATCAACACGCCGCCGTGCTCATTGTACAAAAATGAACACATGGAAAAAAACAAATATGAGTTGCCCAATGTATAATCTTGGCTTATTCAAAGAATGCTCAAGCCTGTACCATACGATGCAAAATTTATTTTGTATAATAAAGTTTTCCTGAATAATAGGTGTGCTTATTAGTAAGTTGATCGCTAAATCCCAAATGCTAAATTTACCTTATTTATGACATATTTCGTTCACTTAGGTAGAAAACGATGTAATATTTTTTAATTCGTGCTCAAAGCGTTAATAAAGTTAAAATCTTGAAATCCCTTATTAAAGGAAACAAATACTTTCCCCCGAAAATATCAATATTAATTTACCTTATTTATGACATATTTCGTTCACTTGGATAGAAAACGATGCAATATTTATTTTTAATTCGTGGTCAAAGTGTTACTAAAATTCAAGTCCCTGAAAGTCCTTATTAATTAAAAGCAACAAATACCTTCTCGAAAATTCATACCCGATTGAGATTTTAATGAAATGATTTTAACTTTAGTTACAATATTAATTTTGTAATAAAATGCATTTTGTTCCTTCCCCCTTTAAAGCTTCATTTATATCAAGTAATTATTATAAAAATAAAAAATTGAAAAACAATACAGTATTTCATAATTACATATAGACAGTTTAAAAAGTTAAAAAGGAAAATTTCTTTTTCCCTGTACCACAGAACTATATAAGAAATAGTCAAAAGAAAAATAGTATTGTCAAATAATGAAAACTGAACTGAAACTAACATTTACCACAAAATAATCCAAATAAGGGAAAAACATGAAGAAATGTGATTCTGGGTTGAAGAGGTTTTGGATTTGTTAAGTTAGTTTCGGATCAGGAGAAAGGTAAACTCAGCTGTGATCTTGAGGTGATGAGAACTTCGGACCTCCAAATTGCCAGCTTGAAGTGCTGAATCGTATTCACCACGAAGGCACGCGATTTGGAAGGAAAATATTTCTTACATTCTCCTTCGCTTAAGGGGTGACAAGAGATATAGAACTCAGTCGCCAAATCTATGTGACAAATAATCCCCCCCTACTCATTTTAGTTTGGGGGCCATTTATAGAGTCGTTGGGTTTATTTTGAATCAGGAAGCCTAGAAAATCAACAATACTCTCGTAAGGTTTGAAATTTGGACCTATCGACTGCCAGCCAAACTTGCTTTTAATTACACAACTGAGGCCTATGGTAAGGAAAAGAAAAAATGCTTCGCAAACTTATAAACATGCAGCTATGAGCCAATTTAGTAATTCTCCCTAACTGTTTCCACTTAACATTAAGTCTAAAAGAGAAGTAATTGCATATATTTAACGGGAATTATTACTTCATATGCAGACAAGCAGTAACCCTTATTTCTTAGTTTCTTTAACTATTTGTGTTTTAATGTGTATAAATATTTTGGGTACTTACTTACTATCCCATCGACCTCTGGCGGGAGCCCACCAGCGGCCGAGCGGTAAAATCGCTGAACACTGGTAGTTCGGTCCGAGGTTCGAATCCCGCGAACGGGCTGGCTGCATGGGCGTTTTCGTGGTTTTCCCCATGTGTAACGTGTATACGAGCCAGTTTCCCTTAGAAAGTCCTCCACGAAGGCATCCCTCCTCTTAGGCAGATAGCCCTCGAGGCTTTGCCATAATCACACACACACACACGACCTCTGGCGGGAATAATTTCACCAACGGTCTCCAGTCACCAGTCGTTATGGCAGAATTCTATAGGAAATGGTCATACATAATTGGCGTTGAATCGCGCGACGGGATAATAAGTAAGTACCATATTTTGCGTATTCCTTAGTATTCCTAATATTAATTCCTTAGCATTTAACAGTTGCATGCATTTGACTGTATATATTCTGTATTCTGAATACAGTATCGCTATACATATCATCTACTTTTTTTTAAATATACATTTAAAACATTTTCAAGTAAACGTAAATATTATACTATTCTTTGAAGCTAATAAGAACCACATATAAAAGCCCTATGAATATTTTCATTTAAGACGATATCTCTCATATAAGTAGATCCTAAATTATTCTATTTTTGTCATAAATCGATAAAATATTCAGTTATTTTAATGCACCCACGCAGTTCGTAGCATTTTAGAAAATTTTTATTAAGATTATCTTTCAAAATGGTGCAGCATTTTTTCTTTTTAATTTATTTTTGAATGTGCGTACCGTGTTAATTCTTCACCAACATCTCCTTTAGTCAGCTATTTTCTTTCTTATATAAGATTTAATATTTACTGAAGTAATATATTTCTGTAATACCATACGTAAGTCTGAAATTCATTTTGTATTTTAGTAACCTAACTATTTGATACAATTTTAAATGTATTTAATTTTTAACATGTCTAACTGATAATTTTTTTTAATATTTGAGTCATTATTTTAATTAATAAAAGATGTCGTAAGCTTTTCTGAAAAAACAAATTATATGCGTTTACTGGTTAAGAAATACATAATAGTAAATTAGCAATTGGTATTCTATTTACTGTGGAAAGAGGCGTCATATTTTGGTCACTTTATCGCAGATGAAGCGAAGTAAAAAAAAATATCAGTGATAATCTCTTACACAGCAGATGAAATTACCTAAATGAATCGAATTTCAAAAACTACGAAAAGTATGAGAGTCAGGACGACCGAGGGGTAAAAGCGCTGAACATAACTAAGTAGAAGTCACAGCTAAGTAGAACCATTCTTTACTACGGTTCGAAGTCCTCCCTTGTTGGATGGGATCGTGTCATCCAAGTAAGTGTAAAGATAGAAATGAAAAGCACAAGAAATGAAATGGTTGGTTCAAGTTTATTGTGCAACTTTAAGCTTTCGTTTGTATTCCGTAATACAATAGAAAATACAATTTAACTCCGAGGCATCAGGATTAAACATTTACGGCACTTGTAAGGATTTATTCAAAAATTAGTTATATTCAGTGTAGGAAGAATCAAATTTGAAACAACGATTGACATTTTCAGAAAGAGAGGGATATTCTTAGCGGTCTTTGAAAATGGGAAAGTCAAGTGAAATATTATAAACGGTAGCATTCTCCTTAAAATTACATTTTCTAACTTCCTGAAGTCTTTTAGCCTTCTGGAATTTAGAAAATGTATTTTTACAAGAGTAAAGAAAATAATAATAATAATTGTAAAAAAAAAAATTGCAAAGAAGCCATTTTTTACAAAAGTCGATTTAGCATTCTGTGTATTTCTGAATTATACTGCCTAATTACTTTATTCAAACAATTATACCATCGTTCATTTTTGGCTTTTTTTAATGAGCTCAAAGGGCGTTAACCCAGAATGGCTATTAATTTCATTTTGGCGCCTGGCGTCGAATTTTTTTTATTGTCTATTTCCTATTTTGTAAAACTTTACCGAATTCCTGATCAAAAAACTCAACGATTTTAAAGTGAGAATGGCAACACTGTACGAAAAGAAAACGTTTTTTATCTCCAGCGCGTGAGACTATGTATCGGAAATTCTAAGGATGTGCTCTTCTTAAAGTATTTTCGCGATATTGCTGTTGAATTGAGTTTTATGGTTTAAGTGCGCAGCACATGATATTTAATAAATAAAGGCAACATACGAAACGTTAAAAAAGCCCCTTTGGGGGTAATATAAAATCTGAAATCTTCCAAATACTTTTTTCTTAATATTCTTTCAAATGTACTTATTGTCTGAAACTCACCTTAAGAACTTTCGGATTTTTTTTCGCTCATAAGAACCATGTTTTTGCCCAAAGAAAAATTTTCAAAATGTTACGCTCTAACGCTTGTATGTATATTAAGTCTTCAGATGTCATTTTAAACATGTCTCTGTTGTGTATATTACAGATAATAATAATCGCTACTTTCAAATAATCTCATACATTTTTGTGTACTAATGTACGGTTACTGCGTGTTTAATCCAAGTTTAGAATTTTTGGTTAGAGTTTTGACATTCAGATAAGTTCATACGAATGTTAAGACATCGAAACTAATAATTAACTTTTCTCACGCCCGAAACCTTTTCTTCGGTATCAAATATCACAAAGCAAAAACTCAGGAAAGGATATTTGTCTTCTTCACAAGTTAGCGTAAGAAAGGTTTCCGTCGCAGTGAAGGTGAAGTTATCACACGAAAGTTAGTGGATTATCCAAGAAAGATATTTAGTTAATGACCATGAAAGAGCTGTAGAAGAAATTTTAAACAAGTTCTGAAAACGTCGAAATTTTCTGAAAATTGTTAATGTTTTCCTGCAAGTGCTGACTTCAAAATTTGCTTATAATAACTTTCATTGAGGGATTCAGCTGTGATTTTTTTTTTTAAATTCCACTATAAGATCATATTTCCTAACACATTCCCTACTCAAAAATAAGACGTTTTGAGGAAAAAAAATTAAGAGAGATTACAATCTCAAATATTCAGGTTAATACACTGGTTATCATAAATTACGGAAAAATCACGATTACTGAAAAAGTTACGTGCAGAATGTAATGAAACTTACCCACAATATATAGTAACACATAGTAAGGTATCAAATGACATAAAAAGAAATTATGAGCCAAATATGGTAGTATAGAAATTAGCACATGAATAAAATGAACAAATCGAAGGCGTCAGTTTGATATAAGAAAAGTACCTTCAATATGGAGTATGATCGCCTCTAGAAGCAATACAGCACATACAGCGATGTGTGATACTTTCAATTACGCGGTCTATCAGTTCCATAGGAAGCGAGAGCCATTGCTCTCGCAAAGCAGTTGCAAGCGCGACAAGGGTCTGAGGGAGCGGATTGAAAGCAGCTAGACGTCTCCCTAAAGCATCCCAAACGTGCTCGATAGGATTCAAGTCCGGGGATAGAGCTGGCCACTCCATGCGCATAATTGTTCCTGTTGAAGATAATCATCTACGATGCGAGCCCTGTGTGGTCTTGCGTTGTCGTCCTGTAACAGGAAACCATCAGCTATTGCCCCGGCATATGGGCGCACATAAATATCAAGGATATCATCTCTATAAATCTGAGCATTCACGGTTTCCCTTGGAAAGAAATGGAGGTCTGTGCGCCCACCCAAAGAGATGCCACCCCAAACACAGACACTGCCCCTTCCGTATGCATCTCTTTCACGGATGTTTGACGGATGATAACGGGTTCTAGGTTCTCTCCATATCAAATAACGCCTACTATCGCTTTCTAGACTAAAACTGGACTCATCCGTAAAGAGAACCGCCTTCCATTGATCAGGCGTCCAGTGGACATGTTGTCGTGCCCACCGAAAAGAGTCCCTACTATGGTGTGACGTGAGCGGCACACAAATGGCTGGTCGCCTCGCATACAAACCACCTTTGTGAAGCCTTCTACGCACAGTTGACGTTGACACCAACCTTCCGGTGGCTGCAGCAAGGGAGGATCTAAGAAGAGTCGGAGTAGCGGTTCTATTCCTGCGTGCGCATAATGTCAAATATCGGTTATCGGCGCTCGTCCTAGCAGTTGGCCGTCCTTGGCTGAACCTCCTAGATGCCGAATCTGTGGTTTGAAATTGCCTCCAAAGTTTATGAACCAGAGAAGGACTCCCATTTAGCCATCTGTCCACTTCTGTTTGACTTTGCCCTGCCTCTAGTCTCCCAGTGGCTCTTCATCGCAGTTCTGCAAGCAAATGATGCCTTTAGGTCATTGTTACGAATTGGCTATCTCAGATTTCTGATGTCACTGTCACAGTGAAAAGTGTGTGGTCGTGCTTTCAAACATGGTCTTTTATGCTCCTCGCAGATGACGTATTCCGAAAGCAGCGCCACTAATTTGCATATCGCAGTTTTACTCATCTACTCTTACTTGGCAACATATTTAAATTTTACACGGTTTGGCTTATTTTCGAGGGAGTAATCGCTATTTTTGTGATTTTTCCTAATTTATGATAACCAGTGTATATAGCATATGCACGAATAGTTTAATATTAAGAAAAAATAGAAATTGAAAGATTTCAGATTTTATATTGCCCTCAAGCGAGCGTTTGTTTTCATTTACAGACATATACACGTTTCGAGAGCATTTGGGCTAGCGCCACTTTGGGGTATAAAATATTTAAAAAGACTATATCTTTTCTGATAGACAGTCCCGCGCGCTGGAGTTAAAAAAATGTTTTATTCTTTACAATGTTGCCACTCCTCGCTTTGAAATTTTGAGTTTCTTAAAAAAAAACTCGTTCAAGTTTTACAAAATATGAAGCAGGCAATAAAATTCCAGATTTGAATTTTTAGGTAAGATTTTTTCACAACGCGAGAAACATAGATACATTCGTGCAGATTCTTTATTTAGTTCCTTTAAATATAATACATGGCGATAATATTTGGTGGCAACAATTTGAAAAGTGATACGTCTCACTGAACGCAAATTGTCGTTTTGAGATTAATAGCCTTTCTAGGATAACGCCCGTTTGTGCTAAAAAGAAATAAAAAGGATATTTTTCCTGGTAATGTTTCATACTAATCTATGTAGGATGTAGTTGTACTTACGAACTATAGAAGCAGTCTTATTGATGTTACTACCGTTAATAATTTAACTACGAAACCAAACAAACATGACAGACGTAATTAGCAGGAAGATGACACATAAAAATAAAAAGAAATAAGAAGAGATAGTCAGTGTATTGCATCATAAAAACGGAATAGCATCATAATAATCATAATTCAGTGTTCTTCGCTTTCGCACTTCATCTTTGTACCAGTCTATCTCTCTGATAAGTGGTCACATGATCTTGCTGGTAAGCGCGTTGCCATTCTTATAAAAAGAATCGTATCACCACAGAAAAATAATATGAAAGAGAAATAAAAAGGATATATTTTCTCGTAACATTTCATACTTTCGTATTTTTAATCACATAAATATATATGTTTGCAACTTCAGAAAGTTTATTTGAGCTCTTTTTAAATTAATAATAAACATCATAAATGCTAAGAACAACTCCCGAATTTTATATAATTGAAATTTTTCATTCCAGCGACACAGGATACGTTATCAGAATCAAACTAACAACATGTTTCTGCCATTACTCAGTAAAAAAAAAAAAAAAAATGCTAATTTAATTTAATTCTGTATCTTTATTAGAACTGATATCCTTAATTACTTGTTATTTTGAAAGATAATTTTCTGAAAATTAAAGCTGTTAAAGATCAATTGTTAAAATTATCTGAGAAATAATTCTACCTTTCTTTATTTTGCAGCTGCAAGGAAAGCCGAACTATCCACCGAGCTTCTGGAGAAAGAAAGCACCATAGGGGGTGTAGCAGCAGCTGCTGCTTCTGATCACGAATTTCGAGAGCAAGGTAATTTTTGAATTTTCAGGAGTTGATAGGTACATTGGCTTCCAAACGTTAAGTAGAAAACTATGAAATCAACAAACTAGGAACGTTTAGCTTTCATTAATACCAGATTGCATATAAAGGTAGTAAATGTGTTTATGCATGAAAGAAAACAAATATGTACAAAGATAAAAAATAGAAATGACACTTGATTTTTCATAAATTACGTGATGATGTCACATTTGGAGCATTAACATATGAATGTTTGAAGCTAAAACAAATAAACAAAACTTACATTATTACGGTATGTGTAACCCCGGACCTTTACAGATATTTTACAGTAATTAATAGTAAGTAAATTTACAGTAGGTGACTTAATCATCGCAGATGCTGGCAATAGTCGTTTCTCCATTAGGGCAATTTCAAACTGCCTGGATGCGCAGAGATAGCACATCTGAGGTTATCGCGAAGGTGTTTTCTTCTTTAGGAACACTGCGAAAAAAAAAAAAAAAGGGGGGGGGGCAGTTCTATGTTTCTCGTTCTACTGGGCCGATCGACAAAATTTAACTTGTGTTTTCCATCTCTCGAAAGTGGGACTTAAATGTGTATCACATTTATATATAGCATTGTTCTAATATAGGTATTTTGACAACACAAAATCGGACTTTTTCTGAAATCACATGCGACTTTTTTTACTTATTTCGATTCTACTACTCAAATTATGCTCAACTGCCAAGTTTTGTAAAAATCGCAAGAGTAGTTTTTAAAAACTTAGCTCTGAAAGTTTTTGAATTTGAAAATTAGATTCATGTTTTAGAATTTCAAATTCAAAAAATTAAAAAAATTATCTGTCAATGTTAATTCAATTTGGCATGCATTTATTAATATCTCTTTTTTTATTAAACTCTTTTGATTCTTCCTTTCACATTTCGAAATTTAGTTTCATTCAAAATAAAATTTGTCCATTTTTATGATTAATTTTTATATATTTTTCGAGAAACATTTGGAATTACAATCTATGCAATTTTACCACCATCTTTAAGTAGATGTATGTCTAAGCATACTTGTAAAACATTAGAGCTTTTTATTCAAAATTTCCGAAGATATACGTGAATTTATGTATTGGCGCCTTTTGAAGTTTGGCATATTTGTTAAAAGCTATAATAACATCTAATATGGTTTACGCACTTTCTTTAAAATTATTTAAAAGTAGGAACGATGTGACGTTTCTTCCGCTCCTGCCCAATGGAAGGGAAAGGAAAATTCGTTGCCATGTATTAAGTTCGCCAAGTGCATTATTCTCTTGCCGCAAATAGAAAAAAAAAACCCACCAAGCTCTATATTTAAATTTCCTTGTGAATTTCGCACCAAATTTTACAAAATTCAATATTTAGGCACAATTTGAGTTTTAGAATCGAAATATGGAAACAAATTAGTATGTTATTTCAGAAAAAGACGAATTTTGTGTCAAAATACCTATGTTAGAACAAGGCTATATACATGAATCTAATACATCATATGCACGTTTTTTGCGCAGTCAACACCTTTAGCATGTTAGCTCGAAAGGGACAGGCATTATCATCCATTAGGAGTAACTCAGAACCAACTACTGCTCTATATAGTGTTACAGTGGTATGTAAGATTTCATCTCGATACCTTATAGCTGACAGAGAACCATCTTAAGATGTGTGGTTCAGTACGACATTCCCTAGAAATTCCAGCCCACACTGTTTGTTGTCACCTGTGATTGCGTGATGTTCGATGATATTCTCGGCCTTATTTTGTGCACCTGGTTATCTCTAGACCAGGGTATCTCAAAAGAGACGTAGCTAGAGCTGCCAGAGCCCGGGCACAACTGAAGATTTCTCGCCCCCCTCCTGTTTGCCCAAAACGAAAAACATTTTTTTATTCTAAAATTTCTTAACTTTAATTTGGCTCTCCATGGATGCTGCACCCGGGAACAGATGTTCCTCCTTTCTTCCCCTAGCTACGCCCCTGGTTCTCAAACCTTTTTGTCCCTAAGAGCACATTCTAGAATATCTGTTTGTTGGATGGCTGGCGCTATTTACTTTTTCCAGGTGAATTTATAGTTGAATAGAGATAATAATAAATTTAATAATAAAAAAGATTGGTCACATTTCGCTTTGTGCTGGTATCTGTATTGGGCGCAATTTCTATTTCATTAAAATGAGAAAACTTTCACATAGAATTTTGTTGAAAATTAAAACATTGTTATTTTGATCGCACAGCGACGCGCACATGTTTAAAGACTGGTGGGCATAAGGTTAGGAACCTCTGGACTAGACATTTACACCTTCATTATCTGATGTTAGAGCAAATCTGGACTCGTCCATGAACAGCATGTTGATGAAATCTAACAAGTAACCCTTCTCTCCTTTGATACCGGTTTCTCGGAAACCGTACATTTTCTGAAAGCTTATGTCATAAGTACGAGGGTTGGAACTTTAATAATGGCAACTATTTATTTACAAGGAATACAAAAGTGATTCATGTCACCATGTTTTACAGTCCTTCAATATAGTCGCCAGCATTGTGTACAACCCGTTTCCAACGACGTGGAAGTCGCAGAATACCTGTAGCAGCGCCTGTTTTGTTGATAGTTTGAATGGACCGGTCTACTGCCGCAAGAATCTCAGGAACAGTTTGGAAGCGAGTGCCATGAAGTGGTTCCTTCATCTTAGGAATTAAGTCATAGTCACAAAGACTTCGATCTGGGGAGTATGGTGGATGGTAAAGCACTTCCCAGCCCCATCGCTTGAACAAATCAGTCACAGCTTGCGCTGCATGCGGCCGAGCACTGTCATGCAAAATGAGAGGAGCGTTCTGCAGAAAGTGTCGCCGTTTTTTTTTCTCAAAGCTGGTCGGAGATTGTGCTTCAAAAATAAGCAGTAATACTGCGCAGTGACGGTCTGCTGTGGGGGAACGGTATGCGTTAGGATAGCACCATCACAGCCGTACATGAGAATCACCATAACTTTCACATTGCTGGGGTTCTGACGAAATTTCGAACGTCGTGGTGACCCATGATGACGCCATTCGTTTGATTGGCGTTTCAGTTCTGGCTGGTACGACCGGGCCCAAGTCTCATCCAGCGTAATGATACGGCGTAAAAAGCATCTCCTTCGCTCTCATAGCGCTCCAAGTGGGTTCGGGCAGCATCGTATCGTAGCCATTTCTGCATTTCCGTCAATTGATGTGGAACCCATCGTGAAACATACTGACAACACTTACTTTAGACCGCGAGCTAATACAAGGATTCGTTCTTCGCGTCACTCCGCATGCGCGTGACGTAGGCAGGACGAGTCTTTTTGCTGAGAGGTAAGGTAGGTATGTAGTTTACGTGTGGTATACGCGATATTCTTTGGTTTTGTTGCGTAGCGTTTTTTCAGCTGTGTTGCCACTGTTAAAGTTCCAATCCTCGTAGAAAAATTGTAAAATCTTAGGGGCAGAGGGACAAACATTTAGGAGCTATAGGGCCCACAATGTATCCAAAAAGAGATTGAAACATGACTCCAAAAGTCGCTAAAATGCTGGTTTCACGTATTTATATGAACTAATAATATGGTAAGAAGGTGGCGATCTCAATGTAAAGGAAAAAGGAAATCTTTGAAAGGAAACAATAGACGTTGGGGTATTGAAATTGTGACTTATTATTGACTTCAAACAAAATTTTTTATAAGAGACAATCTAGTATGTGCAATTCATCAAAAAAAAACAAAAAAAAACAGTGAGACGGGTTGAAAGACAGTTTACGATGGGTGCATTTTACAAAAGCGATAGCCTCACACTTTGCACACTTAATTATTTGTCAATGAATCGAAGCAGTAATTCATCGGCGCAATCGGCGTTCAAAGGTTCGTCGTCCAAGTATCTACCCTTATTAAAAAGCATACTGAATCAAGTTCTTAAAACGAGGAGCTCTGAATTGATATAGTGAAAAGGACTACAGGGCATAAAACTATCGCGATGCCAAATAGGCTCCTGTGTCTCGAGAATGATTGTGCCCGTTATGTAACGAACAAAAGATTTGCAGTGTCTGAAAAAATGAATATCTAGAGGCTGTATCTTTAACGTAAATCCTTAAGGTACCAGTTCGTTTTGTAGGTCATCTTTGTAGGTCACTTTACCATGAGGTACTTCGGAAGCACACAATGCAGAGACGCCATTGCGGAAATATGTCCATCTCTACACACTTTATTAATACTTTGTGGGTTCCTCCCCAATGCTTACCCCTCTGCCCCTAAGATTTCACAGTTTTTCGACTTGTGATAAAGGTTTCAGAAAATATATGGGTTTCCGTAAAACCGGTATTAAAGCAGAGAAGGTTTACTTGTGATACAGTTCAATTGAAATGTTGATGACAGCACTTTAATCTTGTTTCTTTGGACTAGGCGGTAAGTCATACGCAAGCACTTGGTGATACGTTCTCTTCATGTGGGGTTATAAGTACTGGCAGATATTGTATTGCTAAGTGATACTAGAAGTATGGATGGAAAAGATTGTAGGGCAGTTCTCGATTGCGGTTGATTTTTGTAGCAATGTACATATTTTCAGAACGGTAGGTAACCCTTAGTCTCCAGTGAAGAAAGCCAAAAAAGGAGCGATATCTTTGACTGACTGTCCTGTTTCAGTGCTTCTGACAGAACACCAGCTTTAGCTATCTACCACTTACTATAGAAACACGAATATCATGAAACCTTACCCTATAAAAAGCATCCTTCCTAAATAGTTAGTTAATAGGTAGGTTAGTTGGTTGGTCGGTCAGTTGGTCGGTGTCGGTCGTTCGGATTGTCGATTGGTCGGTCGGAGTAGGTCGGTCGGTCGGACGGTCAGTCATATATTTCTATGCTATGATGGATAAACAGTCATCCATCACAGTAAAGGCGAATCTAATTTAAATATATCTTTTCCAACTATTTGGAAAAAGGGTGTGATTGTCTAGTAATAGTGAAACGGGTGTGTCAAAAAAGGTTAATTCATCTAGGCTAATATCGCTCTTAAGCATCAGTTACTTACTTTGGAAATCATTTAATTAGATTCATCATTATTGTATCATAATGGAAATGGACGATACGTACTACATGAAGAGACAGACATGGAAATCTCTTGGATAATTTTTTCTCGCTATAGAAATTTGGAGATTGCTTGATAGAGAATTTCTCGCCATGTTATTTTACTGAAAGGCGTTTTCATGGTATTCATCAAATTAACTCTTTCATTAATTAGGAACAAAAAAATTGTACTTTGTTATGATGCGGGTAACATTACAAAGACAGGTATTTTAAGTTTAACACGTTGAGCGCGGCGCCGGTCTCTGGGGACCAGCAGTGAACTTTCCGTGTGATCGGCGTCGAATTTTCATTTGGCTGGCGTCGGTCCGCAGGACCGACAGTATTAAATTTAAAAAATAAATATAGTCTCAATGAAATGTGATCAAATTTAGTTTTAATGAAATGTACTGAAACATTCTAAACAAAAATACGGCTTAGCTCGCTGCCGGCTGAACGGAAATGACAGCAAATTTGGCGCCGCGTTCAACGTGTTAAGAAGAATGTGCATAAGAATGCCGGTTTTCTATTGCAGCAGTTTCACAGTGCAGTACATGTTTCACAGTGCAGAACACTTTATATCTCATTGTCAGTTTAACACTAAAAACAAACTTGTTTTCTTTTTTGCAGGAGCAGAGAGGAAAGAAAGTAGACAGCGTCTCAACAACGGAATTTCCAGCGATCCCGGCCAAACACATCTCAAAATTTCTACAATTTTCGGATCCCTCCTCTTCTTATTTTTACTGCTGTGAACCGAAAGGGCGAAAAAATATTCAGTCTTAAAGGACGAAAGTCACTCCATACGTGGTTTTCTGATTTTTTTTTAACATTTGGTGCTGACCTCAGCAAGCTACGGATTCCAAAACTACGAAACACAAGAATTATATATATAAAAAGAAAAACTCTCACTATCATGCTCATTGTTCAAACTGATTTAGAGACGTGTGTAAGCTGCTCCGAACTATTATGTAGCAAAACGTCTTGAGATTTAAATTCCACATATTATATGTGTATATACCTGCAGCATTTGTTGCTCTTTTTCTTCTAAATATCTAAAATATTGCATACATATACAGAAGAATGTGCATAATCTCTAATGTGGGAATTGCTTTGCTCTCAGTACGAGATCATTTCTGTAAGCCTCCTCTTTGTAGAAATGATCTTGTATACTTCGAACTAGCTATCCTCTGGTCGCAGCTGACCGAAATACTTTGGAGCTTCATATGTACGCATGAAAACATCTTCATTGAAAATCTTAATCGTTAGCAATTCACAGCATGGAGGCTAAGCACATTCTTTTATATATATATATATATACTGAAAATTTGTCTTCTGTATATACATTCGGATTTTATTTTCGGAGGTGGAAAACATCCTGCAAAGCCTACAGATCAGTAGTTTGTACCATACAAAATGCATTATTCGCAAGTAACTAAACCATCCTGCAAATTCTACAGATCTTTATTTAAAACACATCATAGCACATCATCTAAAACGTTTATTTATCAAGAATTAGTTAAGGGTACTTCAATATAGACATTCTGCAAAATGTATTGGAGTGTCTCAAAAGTCATGAAGAATTTTTTCTCTGTTCTTCAAAGTTTTTCAGTTACATAAAGAATAAAGAGCAGTAATATACTTATTGCCCATTTTGTTTGATAACTGTCTGCTTTCATTTAATGAGCTTCACAATTCTTCGAGCACGAAAGAAACTAGTCTTATTGGCAAAAAGGCTGAACAATGACCTGATTCACGGACTCGTCTGAATCGAATATTATACCACAAAATAAATTCTAAAAAGAGCGAAACAAGTGAAAATCTTGAGGGCAAAAAATTGTGCGATTGATTCACGTGGCAACACCTTTCATCCAAAATTCAGTAGTTTTTGTCCCCCCCCCAAATGATCAAACTTGTATGTGGTCTCGCGCTATCGTGATGGAATGCAGTTACTATACGATTAATGACTTCTAGAAGATGGATTCGTTTAAATCGTCCAGTTGACGATAGCACACATTCGACGAGATTCGTTGACTCCTTGGAAGGAGCTTGAAACAACTGTATATTGCCCGCACAGAAGCTTGATCACCTGACAATAATTATTGCAGTGGGAATGAAACGTATTGCTACCTTTATCTTGTATTATCTGGATAGAAGTATTGCTACCTCTATCCAGATTCCCTCCTCTTTAACTCGCTTCAAAACTTCTTTCATTGTATAACATTCAATTCAGAGGAGGCCGTAAAACAGCATCTTGTTCAGCCATTCGCTGACAAAACTAGGTTATTTTCTGAGCAAAGAATAAAGAAGTTCATTAAAAGAAAGCAAAACGTTCTCCAACAAAACGGGCAATATACAGTTGATACATCATTGTTCCTTTTATAAACAAAGGAACTTTAAAGAACATAGAAAAAATGCATCTTGGCTTTTAAAACAACCCAATAAATATTCTAATTTTAGGATATCTCGATTGATAATTAACTTTGTATTGCACATAAAAAGAATCAGATGATAAGGTTTCCATATAAATATGTATTTCTTATTAGTAATGAACAACCTGCGTAATGATTTCAAGTTCTTAGCAGCCGATGCCGGAATTAGCTGATTGTATAAGTTATTAGAAATATGTATAAATATTGACATGAAAACACAATATTTTACTAAATAATTTTAATTACCGATCCAACTGCTACTGCAGAATTATATATTATATTACTGAGAAATAAAACAGTATTTATAGAGACTTATTTTTCTAAAATGTAAACCCAAGTGTAAAATGCTAAAATACAGGAAGCAAAGAAATGATATTAAGCTCAAATATCGAATTTTAATACCAACAATTTAATAGATCAAAGAGTTAGACGTCATTAATAGCTGTTAAAAGGTTGTTCATTTCACACGACCACTCGCACACGTTTTGTAGACGATTTTCGTTGTAATTACAGAAATGTTGTACCTAAAATGTTTATTCCTTAAATGTTCCATTTGATAATCCTCATTTTTTACTATCTTAATTTCCAAGATAATTAAGACTTTTATAGTATCGGAAGAGGTATTTCATCCCATTACTTTCGAACATCTTTCCAAGTCTAAGGAGGTTGTAGGTCGACAATTGGACAACCTGCCTTTTAAAAGTTCCAAAGCGAAAAAATGCATTGGTAATGGATTAGGTACACATTTCGTATGGATATGAATGAAGGCTACATCCAAGCTTCGTCTATTGTGACAAAATTATTCCATTTTTGTATGGATAAATATTTCTCGTAAAGAAGTCTGCAGCACGTTCTACGTTCAGCCATGTGTGTTGGAGAAAGACGATGCACATTATGCTTTTTTAAGAATCAAATCAGCGTTAATCACTTGTTTACAGTTGATACTGAGCATTTCAACGATTTTGCAACTTTCCTTTGAATTCGGGGATTTTCTTTTAACATTAACACGTTGAGACCAGCAGTGAACTTTCCGTGTGGCCGGCGTCGGTCCCTTGGGACCGGCACTGGAATTTGTTCGGCTGACGTCGGTCCGAAGGACCGACAGTATTAACATTCGCGACCAAAAGCTTTGTCACGCACAGACAGGGCTTGTACGTCGGTAGCCGACGAAACTCACCAACAGATAAGCTGTAGTCAGTGCATCAAGTCGCGGATCGCTCTGTAACATTGCACCGCTTGATCGCTCGCGCCGGCTGAATGGAAAGGACAGGAAATTCGGGGACGGGCTCAACGTGTTAATGATCTTAATTTTGCAACATTCGAAACATTCCGTTTTCTCCTTGGATACGCATTTGGAACAAATTTCAACTTGTAGTTAAATTTTGACATTTTTTTTCCTTTGTTGTTGACATTACCTATCGCAGCTTTAGGTATTGTTAAACGATGGCTTTCACAGAGTTTCTTAGTAACTGGATATGAATCATTTTCTTTGCAAAGAACGAAAACATACATAAACATCTACTCTCTCTCTAAAAGCGAAATTTTGCAGCAGGCGATAATTTATACTTTAAAAAATAGAGCTGCAGTTAAAAAAATTTTCCAAGCGGAAGAATTTTTATAGGAAAGCAAAATAGTCTACAAAATGTGCGAACAACCTCTATATGAATTTAAATCAGGAATATTAAAAAGGAATAGAAATTTTAAAAAAGTTTACGCTACATTTTATGTGTAAATCTAACCTACTATCCTGGATATTAACACTTTAATAAAACTTACTGTAAATTACTTACTAGACTAATACTGCTTTGTATCTTTGCCAGGATTGTTGACCCCTGGTTAGAAAAGAACTATGTAAACATAATATATGCATATATATATATATATATAATATTATAATACAACATTCCAGGTTTTATTAGTTTCTTGTTACATGCGATGACGTCATGTCCGTGTTTTTGTGCATGCGCTTAGATTGGCTGACTTTCGTGAATATGAGAGAACGATGTTCTGAATCGTGATGTTTACTATGTATTGAAAACTCTTTGGATTGGGTATAATATTCTATTAAACAAAACTTTAATTTAATGTATGTCTTTTTGAATTAATTATAGCATTAAATTTCTAACGAAGGTGATTATGGTAATTCGCCATTTCTATCATCTCTATACATAAAGAAGAATGTCTGTGCGTTTGTTCGCGATTAACTCAATCACTACTATAACTATCATCACCAAACTTTCTACAATTCTTTTCTGGGTGCTGTAAAAGGTCAACGTCCACTTTTTTCACACACAAAAGAAAAAGGCTAAAGTTCTAAATAGAAACCTCTGAAAACGCTAATTTTCGCCCTCATTTTACCCAATCGCAACAATCACTTAAGCTGGAGATAAAAATCTGCTTTATTTTGAGAAGTGTTGCCACTGCTCGCTCTCAAATCGTACAGTTTGCTAATAAAAATTTCTAAGTTTTACAATCAAATAGCATTGCCAAACATTATTTCGAATTCCAAACTTCGTGGAAAGCCATTTCCACTGTTTTCATCTTCGAAAGACTTTAATCAGCAGAGATATTAATTAAAAACTCTCAAAACACTAATTCTCGAACTCATTTTTCCGAGTGGCAACAGTCTTGTGCGTTGGATATAAAAATGTTTATTTCGAAAAGTCTTGCTACTGCTCGCTTTCAAATCGTAGAATTTGTTAATGAAAAATTAGTAAGTTTTCACAATGTATATATATATATATATAATATATATATATAAAGAAGTATGTCTGTTTGTGTGTTTGTTCGATCGCATTATTAATTTCTGATCAATTATGATAACTTTTTTGCTACATTTAATGCACGAAAATTGAATATAGGTGAAATATTGGATGGAACTTCAGCTTTTACGACCATTTTATTAGAAATCACTAAAAACTACGTAGCATTGTGCTGATATAATGAGTATTAGTTTAATTTTTCCATCGAAATTTCTGTGGGTTCCTTATCGCATTAGACAGAATCTTTACGACTATGAATCTTATTTTTTGGATCGTTCTATGGACATCTGAAAAGAAAATGAATAAAACCATTCCAATATAAATGATATCAGTTCACTCTTTCCAGGCAACAACCGAATCGTAAATATTATTATTATTATTATTATTATTATTATTATTATTAGTTACCAGAACAGGAAACAAAAAGTTTCGACAGCACGTGTGTACGTTGGCATGATTTAAATTTAATGTAGCTTAATAACATTTTCTGAATATCAATAACAGAGTTAACGTGGCAGTAACATAAGGTGTCAATTATCCTACTCTGAAACAAAAACGTTGCCAAAAGCAGCTATTTATTTAAAATGTTGACATTAACGAAACATTTTCGATATACAATGACGTCACATGCAATCTCGGGCTTTCTTCAGTACATTAACAAGTTGGTTAAAATCCGGCAAAGCTAATTTTATTTCATATTTTGTAAAACTTACAAATTTTTATCAAAAAAATCTACGATTTGAAAGCGAGAAGTGGCAACATTTTTCGAAATAAAGCCAAATTTATCTCCAACGCGCGAGACTGTTGCCACGGGGAAAAACAGTAAGAAAAGTAGTGTCTTTAGAGTTTTTAATTAATATGTAGGCTGATTAAAGTTTTGAACGAATTTTTCCAATCCAGGGGTATCTCTCTCCAAACTCCCCGCCATTCCGGAGGAGATGATGCCACAGAGAAACAGACGCGCACATATTTTAATAGTATAGATAATTGTAGTAAATTAATTGTCTAAATTTGCATTACAAAAACCTTTCAACAATATTAAATTTTGCAGGTGTTAGTTTTAATTACTGCTTAATATTATTAATTGCTGCGTAAAAAAATGCGTCAAACAGAAACTGACATAAAGATTTAATTCAGACAAGCTTATAAATCAAAGTAAAATTCATAACCTATAAAGAAGAAACTGTAATGAACTACGAGCTTTGGTATACACTTAATAATGTAATTGAAATTAGGCAGCTCCTTGACCATAAGAACAAACGTAATTGAATCCGTGTGTTGTCATGATGTATAAAAATTTCATTATATAGGGAAATAACAATGTATGGTAAAAAAGGCCCATTTGTGCTCTTTTTCTTAAATGTATTACAAGAGATAATGTTTAGAATGTATTTGATGACATACTTCTTAATGTATTCAGATGTCAAAATTTGATATTTCGTTCAAAGTTCAAATCTTTATCTGAAGAAATGTATTTGTAAATTCTTCCGATTTTTTCCAGACTTAACACTACTAAGACAGCTGTAATTTTTGATTAGAGATTATTGTAACTTACAGAGAAGTTAAAAAGAAATGTATTCCTATTTGATGTATACTATTAACGTAATAGCTGAAGTTATGCAAAATACACGTTTTAAAATGAAATATGAGAAATACTAAATTCATAAAATTCGTAATAATGATCAAACCTAATCCAAAGAAGAATTTTTTTTAAAAATCTTTTATGATTGGTGATAAAGCTTGAAATAAGTATTAACAACATTTTTTCTGGTTAAGATATTTAAAGATGGCATTCCCATCTGTGTTTGTCTTGAGAATGTTGTAAGAATGTTAAGCCGAAATAAAACTTGTGAGAGTATTTGTATACGAAGTGCGTCATTTTTATATTTTCAATATTTATTCTTAGAAACAAAATACATGATTAATTGAATTCTCTCTCAATTCAGCCTTATGAATAATAAATACACAGGTCGTCTACAAAATTTTAGAAATATATTTATAAAATATGATGCTATAAAGAAAGCAATCAATTCACAGTTTCGTTCTCTACATACGTTGATTCTAATATTACAGATCTCTTAAAAATACATAGAGCTTTTGAATTTTATCAATACAATTCAACTCTTAGTTCTCTATTTTTTATCCTATAGTTAACTTTTTCTGAATTTCTGAAATATTCTCAAAATGAGGAACGTTGGAGATACTACATTTTAATTTGTTTAGTTGAGTAGTACAAATCTGCTACTACATTGTTAACATAATTACTACCATTTTTGTTTCCATAGATAGATTAAAATTCAATAACGTTTCATATGCGCATTTCTTGTCGACTATAGTTAACAATTATAACTTAA